AAAAAAAAAAAAAAACAAGCCATCATCTGTAAAACTGACCTCAGGTTAAACTTAAGGGACAAAACAGTTATTGGAAAAACCAGTTCTTGGAAGGTTCTCAGAAAGCCCACAATCGAAACTGCAATTATCCCCATTATACCCCTAGCAACCCCAGTTAGATAAGGGTTGAGAAACACAACCTCAGGTACTGGAAAATGGATGGGATGGTCAGCTGGTAGAAGCAGCTTGCAGGGTCAGGGCGACCAGAAACTTGCCTGTGTAATGCTGACCAATTATGTAGAAGCCCTCGAACCTTAAACCCTCTCCTATTTGCTGGAAACCCTATAAGAATCCTACTGAACATGTGATCAGGGCTCACACCTCTGACCCACTGCATCGGTGACGATTGTGAGTTCAGGCTCTCAAACTTGCAAATAAATGACTCTTGCTGTTTGCATTGGTCATGGTCTCTGGGGGTTGCTTGGGGGTCTCAAGTTCGAATCTAACAGACTCAGGACTGAAATCCTAGCTACTTAGGAGGCTAAGATCTATGGATCAAGGTTTAAAGCCAGCCCAGGCCGACAGATCAGAGATACTCTTACAATCAACCAAACAGAAAAAAAAATAAATAGGTGTAGGAATACAGAACTGGAGGTATAACACAGTGGTACAACACCATTCATGAAGAGAAAAAGCCTAACCAGCCCTGAGTTCAAGCCTCAGTACTGGCATAAAAATCTCTTTAAAAAAAAAAAAGGTGGATACCCACAGACATAAACAGTTCAAATACTTGGTGAACTCTCCATATTGACTACCCATAATTGGGAAAGATTTCACCGAACCAGGAAAGTTACAGAGCTTGAGTAAATAAGCTTCTTTATAAATCAAGATAAACTTGAGTTTCCTCAGGGTATCCAATATAATGCAATGATGCAGGCAAGGTGGTACAAACCTAGAATCCCAGCAAGCAGGAGACTGAGGCAAGAGGATAAATAGTTCAAGGACAGCCTAGGTTAGGTAGCCTGTTACAAACTAGTGTAGAGGATAAATAGTTCAAGGACAGCCTAGGTTAGGTAGCCTGTTACAAACTAGTGTAGTCTCCATAATAAGACTTGTTCTCAACCCCTATACTCTCCCTCCTCTTCCCCCCCCCAATCTTCACCCCCCAAATATAGAATCCAAAGGTAGATTGTTTGCATTGCAATTTTAAGTACTATGTAGCTCATGGGTGGTTTTTTGGGGTTTTTTTTTTGCAAATTACTTAATGTCCTCATGTGGGATAATCATTTTACCTTTGTCATTGGGTTGTTGTGAGAATGAATTGAGTTAAATCATATTAAGTGCTTAAACAAAGTACATAACCTAATGTGAGAGTTAGACATATATTAGCTACCATTATTATCAGGTATTATTAACCACCTGGGGAACCTCAACTAGATTTGGAGTCTGGATATCCAACTAGAAAGGCCTGCCCAGGAGTGTCTGGTGAATACGATTTGCATAACGGTTGAGTCCCAGCTGACTGACGTCAAGGGCTTCTTAGAGCTCCAGGTCAGAAGTAGTCTTGGAAGTAGTTCCTGCTACGCAACAGTCCCACAGTTGCCCCACCAACCCTCCTTCCAGCCCAATTGCTAAAACATCAGGAAGTGAAACAAAAGAGGTAAGAGCTCTGTGCCTCCAGCTCACCCCCATTCCTCTCATCCCATTCCCAGGCCTCTACTTCCTTCTCCTCCCTTTCACCTTTCATCAACTTTTGTTTTCCTTTGGGGAGGTGGGGCAGACTAGGGTTTGAACTCTGGGGCCTGAAATTGCGAGGCTGGTGTTTTGCTACTTGAGCCACACCCCAGCTCATCTCCTGTCTTTTAGGACTCCCAGAATGGGCACTAAAAGTAGAAAGAATCTGTGTTCCTGTAACTCATGGCTGCAATCCTAGATACTCAAGAGCCTGATATCTGAGGTTAGAGGAAAAGTCGGTGATACTCTTATCTTCAATGAACCAGCAAAAAAGCCAGAAGTCCAGGTGTGGCTCAAGTGGTAGAATACCAGCCTTGAGCAAAAAAGCTAAGTTACAGTACCAGTGCTCTGGGTTCAAGCTCCAGTACTGGCATAAGTATATAGACATACCCATGTAGGAAGAGATAGGAGAACTGCTATATAAATTAAGTTAAACTCCCCAATTTCCCTTTTCTATTTATGTCTATGTAAGGACAGGTAAACATTTTCCCCAAACCTAATTTTTTTTTTGAGATAATGAAGTTTTTTTTTTGTTTGTTTTTTGTCAGTCATGGAGCCTGAACTCTGGGCCTGGGCACTGTCCCTGAACTCTTCAGCTCAAAGCTAGCGCTCTACCACTAGAGCCACAGCACCACTTCCGGTTTTTTCTGATTATGTGGTACTGAGGAATCCAACCCAGGGCCTCATGCATGCGAGGCAAGCACTCTACCACTGAGCCACCTTCCCAGCCCCAGGAGGTTTTATTTTCTTTTAACATTTGCTTTACAGTGGTACCATTATTGTTAGTGCTATAAATAAAATCAAGGTGGAACAGTAGAAAACTTGACTTTGTTTTAGCTGAGTTTAAAGGGATAAGAAGATTTACTTACTGGGGGCTGGGAAGGTGGCTCAGTGGTAGAGTGCTTGCCTTGCAAGCCAGAGGCCCTGGGTTCGATTCCTCACCACATAAGCAAAAAGAAAAAAAGCCGGAAGTGGCGCTGTGGCTCAAGTGGTAGAGTGCTAGCCTTGAGCTGAAGAGCTGAGGGACAGCACCCAGGCCCAGAGTTCAGGCCCCAT